CTAACTAAATTCATGCTTTTCAGATTTTTTAATTATTTTTTCAAATATTATAAATATTATCAACATAATATAAACTAAAAATTAAAATAGGTTATTTTTAGTTGTTAATGATTTCTATCATTTCTTAAAAATAGAATAAAAAAATTTAACCGTGATAGTTTTTATTGTGTAATGTACAGAAGTCAACCATTAAATAAAAATAGAATTTTATGTGTTGTACCATTTTTTATAAAATGAGTATTAATCTTGTTGTGATTAATTCTATAAAAGTGATTTGATTCTATTGGTTAAACAACTTAAATGATTATAGTTTAAGCTTCTAGGGTGCATGATTAAATCTTAGTTATGGTCATTGATATACATGTTTTGTTGTAATCAATAACATCAAATATACTTTATCCTACTAGTTGAACACTTGAAATTATGATAGTTTGAGTTCATAGGTCATATGTTTAAATCGTGGTCATGATGATTGATATACATGTTTATTTAGTTTTATTTTAATATAATTAATAAGTTAAAATATTAAAATCGTGACATGGAAAATTGTGGAGCAACTTTCTCCACAACCACCATAATAAATGTTATAAGAGGCATCTATGTCAGAAGCCATAAACATTAAGAAGCAAATTGAGTACTACGATAGTATGAAAGGAAAAGTAAACAATAGTGATAACTGATAAGTCAATAACGACTTTCAATAGAAATTCCCCCGAGACTCCTAAGCACTTTATTGCGGACTTTATGAGTGTATCACCCTTTGGAGAAATGGGGAATATCTTAGAGTCTCTATGGTTCCTCCTTCACAGATAGGAGTGTTCAAACTGTGTGGTTACCGTGGTAATCATTTTAACCAGTAGTATTTGGCTAATTTGGTTTGGTTAATTTCGATAATTGGTTTGGTTTGGTTAAAAAATTTAGCTTGTTTGGTTTAGATGGTTTGGTTTCAGGAACTCCTAACCAATCAAACCAAATTAACCAGTTAAGTAATTTGTCATATATCTAATATATATTATATATGTCAATTTGTATACGATAAGCTAAAGAACACAAAGATTTAACGTGGTTTCCCTGATGATCAGGACTAGTCCACGGGAGAGGTAGAACTCTCCAAGGGTAAACTCTTATTTGCGTTAGGGTTTTTCGTGATACAGGTTACATATTTATATGTACAAACTCGGCTGACTAATTACAAGCAGGTACACAAACTTTAAATACTTCAACACCCTCCCTCAAATTGATGTAGGGTGCGTAACATCAATTTGGAAGAGAGGAACCAATGCCTGCTTGAAGCCAGAGATTTAGTTAGGATATCTGCAGTCTGATCTTCAGTCGATAGAAATCCAACCTGTATCAAACCCTCTGCGATCAACTGCCGAATGTAATGGACATGCACCTCAATATGTTTCGTCCTGTCATGTAACACCAGGTTAATAGCAATCTGTATCGCACTGGTGTTATCACCAAATATACGCATAGGCCGACGACATTCCATGCCTAGCTCACCAAGCAACCGATGCAACCATACCATTTCCGAGCTCACTTCAGACATAGAGCGATATTCTGCCTCTGTAGAAGATTTAGATACTCGATCCTGCTTCTTGCACCTCCAGGAAACAAATGAGCTACCTACACGAATGCACCAACCCGAAGTCGATCTCCTGGTGTCTTTACAGCCAGCATAGTCTGCATCGGCGAACGCATCGATCACTGGGTCACCTGATGCTGGAAAGAACATCCCCACATCTTGAGTTTGTTTCAAATACCTTAGCAGTCTATGAACTGCATCGAAATGCATGGTCCTGGCTACTCCCAAATATTGACTGACAACCTGCACAGCATACGAAATATCAGGGCGAGTGTGTGTCAAATAAATCAGACTGCCCACCACACTACGGTATATGGACTGTCTATCCTCGTCCAGCAAATCACCACTCTCCCGAGTCAACTTCAAGTTCTGCTCCATGGGCGTCGAACATGGAACACTCTCACTGTACCTGGCCGTAGTCAACAAGTCATTTATGTACTTCCTCTGTAACACAAATATACCATGCGCGGAGCGATTTACCTGCAGACCCAGAAAGTACTCAACATTTCCTAGATCCTTAAGATTAAAGGACCGATGCAACGAGTCCTTCAGCTCTTGTATCCCCTGCGCATCACTCCCCGTGATTACCATGTCATCAACATATATCAACAATACTATAATCCCATCAACTGTATTGCGAATGAACAGGGAGGGATCATTCTGACTCTGCACAAACCCTCCCTGAGCTACTGTGCCATGAAATTTATCGAACCAAGCCCTCGGTGCCTGTTTAAGGCCATATAACGATCGTACCAGCTTGCAAACCATTCTCGAATCACCTTTAGTGTACCCAGGTGGACGTTCCATATAGATAGTTTCCTTCAAGTCACCATGAAGGAAGGCGTTCTTGACATCTAGCTGAAATAACGGCCATCCACGCATAGCTGCCACAGCAAACACACAACGAACCGTTTGCATCTTGACAACAGGAGCAAACGTCTCCTCGTAGTCAATTCCATAAACCTGACGAAAACCCTGGGCAACAACACGGGCCTTAAACCGCTCGAGCGAACCATCAGACAATTGTTTCACATTATAGACCCAACGGCTACCAATCACTATCATACCTGGCTGGCGGGGAACAAGATCCCAGGTATGATTGGCATCAAGAGCCGCAGTCTCCTCCGCCATGGCCCCTTCCCATCGTGGGTCACCCTTTGCTTCAGCATAACAAGTGGGAATGATGATGGGCATGGCCGAAAAACCAACATAGTCCTGCATTCTTATGGGCGGTTGCCCCAAATTTGCACGATGAGAACGGCGAAGGGGAACCAATGGTGGTTCCGAGGGAGGAGACAGCTGGAGCTCGCTAGGGTGCGACGAGGAGGAAGACCCGCCACTTGATGACGATCAGACGATGAGTGCGAGCCGTAGCTGCTAGCAACGAATGGAGACACAGTGCCCGAGCTGGTCGTAGGTGAAGGACTGTGCGGGGACAAAGAATTGGGAAAAAATCCAAAACTACCACTGTTTTAAAAAAAATTACAAAAATACCACTCTCACCAAATAATTTCCAAAAATACCATCGTTTATATAAAACCGCGCCTCTGATGAGCGGTTTTCAATGAAACTGCTCCTCTAGGCTGCGTTTTCCCTTATAACCGCTCCTTGGACGCGCGTTTTTATTTTCCAGAGAAAACCGCTTCTGGGACGCGCGGTTATAGGCTACCCCTACCACAAAACACTTTAAGAGGGAGCGTTTAAATGTCGGCATTACAAACTGCCTGATAAAGGGGCGGTTTACAATGTCAGGACACAAACTGCTCCCCCGAGGCGCGGTTTGTGCATGGTCACCCGACACCCGACATGTCGGCATGCAGGGGTAGGGCTGCATGGCAGACATAAAACCGCCCCCCCCCCCCCCCCCCCAAGCGGTTTTGCTGCAAAATTTGCCTATAAAAGGCTGTTTCGGAGAACTCAATTCTTCACACTTCCTTCCTCAAATTTCTGCTTTGCGCCTTTAAATTATTTAGTTTTTGCCCTCAACGTTAATTCGTAAGTTTGTTTCGTAATTACTTTTCATTGTCTTTGTGATTTTATGTTAGTAACTTAATTACTTTTGATTGTCCTTTGTGATGTTATGTTAGTAACTTAATTACTTTTCATTGTCATTTGTGATTTTATGTTAGTAATTTGAATTACTTTTCATTGTCCTTTGTGATGTTATGTTAGTAACTTGTGTTACTTTTCATTGTCATTTGTGATTTTATGTTAGTAATTTGAATTACTTTTCATTTTTCTTTGTGTTGTTATGTTAGTAACTTGTGTTACTTTTCATTGCAGATGGCATTCCAAAGGTTCACGCTTGGGTTGCGGTGGAATGGTTACACGGAAGAGACCGAAAAGGGTGTAAGTTACGTCGGTGGCAATTTTCATAAAATGAAGGTCCGTACGAGACCGATGCTTGAAGAGCTCCATCAAATGTGCACTCAGATTACCTGCATGGATGGCACTAGAAGAGTTGATCGAATGGTGTATCGATATCCAAACAGACATGACGGGTCGCTGTGGTATGAGGAATTTCTCCTTACCACTCAGGAGGACGTTGATGCCATGGTCCAATTTTGGACCACCAATACAATGAAGCAAGCGGAGATGTTCGTTTACACCGAGGCCGTTGAAGGCAGTGTAGGTCATTCTGGAGCTGGCCAAACATCTGGTATCCACGGTGGGAGTGTATTATACGAAGATCATCCCCACCAGGATTTCCAAGACTCGAGTTGGAGTCAGGAGGAGTATCATCATGGAACTGGAGGAAGTCATCAATCCTTCCCTTCATGTGAAGAAGAAGCTCAACAGGCGGATTACAACCAACAAGCAGGCTACCAGTACCCACCCGAGTACAACTTCTATCAAAGCGGTGTTAGTTACCACAACTACCATTACGGAGCTAGTGAAGGTCAAGGTGTCTTTCATGCTGATAATCAAGATGAAGAAGAGGTCAATCCAAGTCCAGTTAGTGACCCTGAGGTTGAAGAAGAGGAAGGCGAATTAGTGCAGACAGCTCCGATCCGCTGGAAGGTGCTGATGATTCCGGTCCAGATTCAGACGCAGATGGTGATGAGGTACCTCACGACCGTGTACCTATTCCATACTACAATCACATTCAAAGTGAAGATTGGTATGTTGATGCCGACATGGACCCGCCAGATGTGCCAGTATGGGGTCCACTAACTGGCTTTTCGAAGGGCCAACAATTTGCAACGAAGAATGAGGTTCGACACGCTATTTCCACTGAAGCAATGACTCGGAGTTTTGAATGGCAGACAACCCATTCCGACACAAAGAGGCTGATGGTTCGATGCAAAAACCACAATGAGGGATTCGCTTCTAGGGTCCGGGCCATCAAGAGCAAGAGATTCGGTCATTGGGTCATATCCCGTGCGGTGAACACACACACATGTGGGAACTTGTCGATTAGTAGGTCCTTGTCGACCATCTTTCCCGTGGTACCCCTTCTGACTCTCCGGGACATCAAATGGTATGCATTGCTCACGTCCAAATTGTCGTAGACATCGATCCGGCAAGTGTCACTCCACTATATGGTGGCAGATTAGTGGAACTCGGGTGCACCATTGACCGGGATGTAACGGGAACTTGTGGACGTGATGCGCTTCAATCCGTTCTGGATACGGATCGAACTTAAGCTACAAAGGTTTAAATAATAAAACCATTAATCAACATAATAATATAAGTTAAAAAAAAGTAGGGTTTTAATAGCGTATTATGATGCTCACCTCTGCTTCCCATAGGTGATCAAGCCTCCTACGATACTCCTCCAGCTTATGCGCTCCTAGGTTGTCGCATGTTGTTTCACCAAGCCACCTATTAATATGGAAAAGTACACAATGTTAGTACCTTCAAAAAATTTCGTTACAAAAAACTAAATTAGTAAAACAAAATGTGAGAACTATGAGTGGGATAGAAGATATTTACCTACAACCATAAGCTTCATGTCGTAGGGGATGGTCGGGTCCCCATTCCTTGTCGGGGTCTACCTTCGGCGCAATCCATGGCAAATGCTCCCAAGCCCAAAATTGGACGATGAACATTGCCCCATCAATCTCCTTCACCGCTCTCGCACTAGCATTACATAGGGATCGGTAGAGCTGGGCTAGGCAAGCAGATGCCCAGCTCAAGTTTCCCATATCATCCCAACTACCAAGTATGATCTTCAACCATGAATTGCTGATTAGGTTGTTGGATTTCTTGAGGAAGAAAACTCCTCCGATCATGCCGAGGATGTAGATACGTGCATAAATGTCTTTATCGCGCTCCGAACTTTCCTCCGTGAGGGGAATGCCTCCGAACTCTGGGTTGTGCTTACGCCGAATCTCCGATGTCAACCACGTGATGGATACTTAACCCTTGGACAATGGTGGATTACCATCCGCATCGTGATCTCCCTTTTCTGGCGGACACAACCCGGTGACCGTCCATATAAAATGTTGCCAACCACTCATATTGGCAACAACTTTAGGTGGTGCCGTAGAGTCCACACAAACAACATCACCATCAATGGGGAGATCGGTAAGGATGGCGATGTCCTTAAGTGTGATGGTGCACTCGCCTTCACGAAAATTGAAGCAGTGTGTCTCCTTTCGCCATCTCTCTACCATCGCCGTGATGAGTTGGCGGTCAACCTTAATTCCATTGAAATGCCTAATCGAATCCAATCTTGCCCTTTTTAGAAAGGGCAAGATGACGTCGTTCCATTCAAGCACATTCGTTGTGCCTCTATAGCGGACTATATGGTATGCATCCTTGAGAAGAATTTAAATTTCACTATAAGTTGATGATTTATACATATATAAATATATTATAAGATACAATTTATATATAAATCAAGGTTGTTGTAGTTGTAGAGAAATATACATTATCTAATAAACATTAATTTTAACATAACTAAAATAATTTTCTAAGATGCAATATTAATTCGATCAAGCGATTTTATAGAAATATACATTATCTAATAAACATTAATATTAACATAACTAAAATAATTTTCTAAGATGCAATATTAATTAAATCAAGCGATTTTATAGAAATATACATTGTCTAATAAACATTAATATTAACATAACTAAAATAATATCCAAATATATTATTTTGTTAATCGTATTGATTATTTTCAATAATTTAAAGCAATACAAGTACACTCTTAGGAGAGGTATACATCTCCTTAGAAACACAGTCTTTTTGACAGAAAAAGGGGGGATCCGAGGATCGCTTAGAACCCGATTTTCCCAGGTCATGGGGGGATCATGATGATCGCTTAAGTCCCCATTTCCTTAGACATGCATTTCTTTATAAAGAGTCTAAATAAGTGTTGTATTGTATTGATTTAAATTATTGAAAATAATCAATACGATTAACAATTAAGTAAATTATTGTACAAACAAATAAATTACTTTAACAAAATACAAATTACAAGTGATGATAAATAATATGTACCTTGTGGTCGTTCCAAACGTCTCTTGAACGATGATTTGCTTGATCGTATAAAACTGTCGGATCAATCGGTCCTTGCTCAACATAATATCGTTGATTGAAAATATCAACATCCGGCCCAACCTACGATAGCATAACAATAACACAAATCATTAGTATATAAATTAAATAAATCATTATAACAACAACAACAATTGGGAAAAATGAGTACGTACCGTTTGATAATCATCAAAAAAAAGGCCCTCTTCTTGAGCGAAATCGGTCATTCTCTCGGAATCCGGACAGAGGTTCGACGGTTTTTTAGTGAAAACCAAAGAAAAGTTTTTTGGAGGCAGATCGGACTTAGGCCGCAACCAACAAAAAAACGTTTCTAAGGTTTTTGGGTGGGGAGGGGAGTGGATAGGGAGAAGTTAGAGGGAGAGAGGGGGGAATGAGGTTGGTGTGCAGAAAAGTGAAGGGGGAGGGGGTTTATATAGGGTACAAACTGCGTCCCCGAGGGCCATTTCGTCAATTTTTTCCAACGAAAATCGCGCCTCGGAGACGCGGTTTGCTTCTCCCGAACAGTCAACCGCGCCTCGGGGACGCGGTTTACTTCTCCCGAACAGTCAAACCACGCCTCGGGGACGCGGTTTACTTGGGCGCCGACGCAGATCGCCGAGCTGGCACACGTTTTGGCCGTTAGATCGCTCTCCCAGCGAGCGGTTTAATGAACCGCCACGTGGACACGCGGTTTGACAGCCATGCAAGGTCAAACCGCTCCTTGGTGAAGCGTTTTGTGATCAAACCGCGCCTCTAGGCTGCGGTTTCATTGAAAACCGCTCATCAGAGGCGCGGTTTTATATAAACGATGGTATTTTTGGAAATTATTTGGTGAGGGTGGTATTTTTGTAAATTGTTTTTAAAACAATGGTAGTTTTGGATTTTTTCCAAACAATTGGGACCAGGCGAGGAAGAACTTGAAGAATGTGAACTTGTGAGCTGGGGCGTGCTGCTGGACGTGGCTGCATGCATGTCTTGAGGTGGAGTGGATTCAAACAAAGGCAACGGCAGCAAAAAAATCCAAGGACTCCTCAGGTAATGCATCCCGGTTCGTTGAGTAATACATTACCTGCTCCAAAAAAACAACATGACACGCAATCCGCATCCGACGATCCACTGGATCATAGCATAAATAACCCTTGTGCTTTGTACTGTATCCTACGAACACACACCGAGCAGTCTTAGGAGCCAACTTATGACGTTCTTTGCGAGGAAGTAACACGAAGCACACACATCCAAAAACCCGTAAAGCAGAATAGTCAAGCATCTTTCCAAACAGCATCTGATACGGAGAGCACTGACCCAAAACCGGTGTAATTTGTCGATTAATCAGGTAAAAAACTGTTTGAACTGCCTCTACCCAAAACCGGCAAGGAACACCAGAATGAAATAATAGTGCGCGAGTTAACTCAAGAACGTGACGATGCTTACGTTCTACAAGTCCATTCTGCTGTGAAACACCAGGACATGATTCTTGAGGCAAGATTCCTTCATTCTTATAGAACGCAAGCAGGTCGTTTGACGTAAACTCGCCTCCAGGATCAGATCTAATAATCTTAATGGTCTTTGAAAACTGAGTTTTAACCATTTGAACAAACTCTTTCGCCAAAGATGCCAGATCCGATTTCTGCTTAAGAAAAAAGATCCAAGAAAATCTGGTAGCATGATCTATAAACAGAGCGAAGTATCGATAACCTAGGCGAGCTGTAACCGGTGACGGGCCCCAAAGATCTGTATGAACCAGATCAAACGGATTCTCATAAACCGTCTCACTAGAGGTAAAAGATATCTGTGAAGTTTTTGCCTCAATACAACTAACACACGGCGAATGAGATACCGACGATGAATCATATTTATCTGGTAACAAATTCTAACGAAACATAGAGTGTAACCGAGCTGAATGAGGATGTCCCAAACGATAGTGCCATAAATCCCATGTTGAACCCTTAATAGAAAAATCCAAAGGTCTCACAGAAAAACCAATATCCTTAAATTCAATATCCCTATCCAACAGACTCTCATCCTCATTATTAGACAAATGAAGTTCGGCCCCAAGTGGACTTCCAGCATCGCCCGCGGCAACAGCTTCGACCCCATTTTGACTCTTCTGGACAGCAGCAACTTCGACCTCTTTATGCCCCTCTTGGACCCTTCCACTTTCCTCTGATGCTTGCAGTTCATCAAGGACAAACACACGACCGCATTTACTGCCTCTCCCTAGGACCCTCCCCGTCCTCCGGTCCTGCACAAGACAACCACTAGCATTAAACGTCACCTCACAGCCAGCCTCGGCCAACTGTCCCACAGAGGCCAAGCTGGGTTTCAAGTCGGGAACAAGCATAGCGTCCGCAAGTGTCACAGGACCAGAAGAAGAAGTGCCACAGCCCGCCACGGCCAATTGAGCCCCATTAGCAACTTGAAGCTGAATGCGCGGTGCTCGACGCAATTGAGTAAAAGTTTTATGAGTAGGGGTCATATGATTATAAGCCGCTGAATCTACAAGCCATCGAATAGAATTACCTGGTGCAGCACCCGTAGAGAACGCGGATGTAAGAGCAGCTGGTAAAGCCTCCTGAAGTGCCTCCTGAACAAGCTTACGGACTAGGTCGGGGGAAAACAAAGGCGACGAGATCCCATCGGCGGTGAAGAAGCTGTAGGACCAGGATGTGCAGGCTAAACTCCCGTACCCACCACAGCATACGCTGCGGGCAAAGAAGATCCACCAGGCGGAGGACACAATTTTCCCCGACGACTCAAAGTCGGACATTCCAGGACTATATGCCCCGGTTTTTTGCAGTAGTTGCAAAAATTACGTTTCTTACAATGAATCTGCAGATGCCCAGCCTCGCGGCAAAAATGACACACAACTTCCCCAGAGGGCTGACGAGAAAACTGAGGCCGAGAGGAAGAACCGGCGCGGCCAACAGCGAACACGGATTCAGCGGAGCTAGCAGTATCAAGCTTTGCTTGACTCCGGAGGCGAGTCTCTTCGCGAACTAATTCCCCAAGAACTTCATCCATAGTAGTAACTCCATGATGAATAAGAGAAGCTCGGATAGCTTCAAATTCATGACGTAGCTTTGACAAGAACTGCATAACCCGGGTGCGACTACGTTCAACAACAATGACCTCCGATTCAGCCCCAGTAACAAGAGACGCAGTCAACATATCACATTCTGTCCATAGATGCAAGCCTGATAAAAACCCCAAATATCCTTATCACCCTGAGCTAGCCTGCCAATCTCAATTTCCAGTTCAAACTGACGAGATACGCTAGTCTGAGAGTGCATAGCAGTCAAGTGGCGCCACATCTCAGCCGTCGTACGAAACCGACGCAATCCCAGAGCCGTGGGAACATCGGCACAACCTGCCAACCAAGTGATAAGCTGTGCATTGGAGGCCTCCCAATCTGCACGCTCCTTTGCATCAGCCTCCGCCGAGGGAGCCTTGATCTCCCCTGTCAAAACCCCAAGCAAACGTTTCCCGGCAACGAAGTTTCGAAACTGAAACTCCCACAAGGGAAAATTCTTCCCATCAAACTTAATGGAAACGGAATCAAGCTTTGAAGTATCCATACCTAATGCTGGACCAAAAAAGGACGAACAATAAACCCATCCAAGGGAGACTTCCTGAAGGGCGACGCCAAACACAGTCCGAGAAGCAGCCAAAAGTGAGCGAACAGCAGCTGCTGCAACCGAGCTCCAAAAGAACACCGTGAACAAACGCGTCCAAAACTCAGCTAAAGAATGAATCAGTAGGCACCAAAACAACCGAACAAAAATCCAAAAGAGAGCCTTGCACAACCCCAACGCAGCAAAACAAAATCAAATCCAGCCCGCCAAACGCAAGAACCCAACCACCAGAGCTGTAGACAAACGTGCCGCAAACAAAACCCTCAAACGAACGGATCCGGCTCTGATACCATGTCAATTTGTATACAATAAGCTAAAGAACACAAAGATTTAACGTGGTTTCCCTGATGATCAGGACTAGTCTACGGGAGAGGTAGAACTCTCCAAGGGTAAACTCTTATTTGCGTTAGGGTTTTTCGTGATACAGGTTACATATTTATATGTACAAACTCGGCTGACTAATTACAAGCAGGTACACAAACTTTAAATACTTCAAC